TCGTTTAATTGATTCGTGCCAAATTGTTGAAGCAATCATTGAGTCCACGTGGGTGTGCCATAAATTAAAGAAAACAAAAAACAATTAATTTCAAGTTATATGGTGTTATAATAAACTCTTAGTACGTTAACCTATCATTGACTCCGGGCGATCTTGAGATTTGTTTGATTTTTGCGCGGCTTGATTTCAGTCTTTTCAGTTAAATTACTTGGTACTCCAGAAAGAAGTGCTAAGACTAATTTGTCTGTAAGAGATATGAAGTTTCGTGCAGATGTTTGAATAATTATTTCAAATCCAACCAAATCCAGAAGTTACGTGGGAAAAACTGAAGACAAAAGAGTAAATAACTATGAATACAATATTTTAATGAAAATGTTATTTTATAATTTTAAATAATCAAAAACTGTGGTCCAGTTTACTTGCCAATAATATTCCTGTCGAAATTTCACAATCAATATTCATCCAATTGTCTAGGTGTTTAGATGGTGTCTTCAGTTCTCTAATAGTACCCCTAACGGGGATAAAATTTGGACTGATACTCTATAAATAGTCATCTCTCGGAGGGATAGTCCAGTGTTCGCCCGATTGTGAATACTAACAACCAAAACATCGTGAAATAACTTAGTCTGAAATAATTTTTTATTTTTAGATTTGTTTCAATCCTTCGATTTTCAGTTTTCAGATTATTCCTATTAAATGGTTTTATTTAGCTTCACGGAAAAAAATCTCACTAGAATTTTTAAAACAATATTGTGTCACGGTAATTTTCTACAAATTGTTGCTTTAAATATAACAATTGTAATAAAAAACTATGTTTTCGAATTAGGTTATCTCAAATAAAATTGTAGTTGATGATTGTAGTAATTCATCAAATAACGTATACAGCATATCAAAACAATTTAATTCAGTTTTGCTAATGAACATTTCAACAATTTACGAAAGAAATTGTTTCAATATTATAATATATTCCATAGTACAATCTACTATAATTTATTGTGTATTTCTCTCCAATTTATGATAAGAATCATCTGTGAAATTAACAATGAAGTCATAAGAATGTTTTTCAAAAAACGACAAAAATGAATATCAAATAATCACTACAATTGTTGGAATGAATGATGAAATATTGTGCTAGGAAAGAAAAATATTTTAAGAAAATATAAAAAGTACCTCGTTTGGGAAAGTCCAATATGTTAATAGGGGTGACCATATATAATGCTTGCACCTCATGTCGAAATTTTGAAATCCTTTACCATTTTACTTCCTAACTATGCCTGTCATTCCTCAACACTTTTGACAAATAACTTTGTCAAGATATGTTGATGTTACATTCAACTTTTTGAATTCAACTTTATTGTTATATTCTATAAATGAAAATTGAACAAGAGGTAGGTATCAGAAACATATTTTGTTTTGCTGTGAAATGAAGTTGAATTGATACTATGTGTATTGTTTTCCTCCACAAATATTTTGTACTGTTTCAAACAATGTTTAATGATAATTGAAACATCCTATTTTGAAAAGTGATACATCCGGTTTTCATTCATTTATAATTGCATAGTAATTACTCATATGATTTTTTTGAGTTTTCGGTACTATATATTGCAATTATTAGAACAATTCCAGTAAATTATTATTATGTACTGTATGAATTTTTGACTGATGGTTTGCTGTTAATTGGTACAATTTTTAAAAATTCGTGATAAAAGTTATATAATTTTTCAACACAATAATGATTTGAATATTTTGACAAATTTATATGTTCTAGTATAGTTCTAGTACAATATTATTTGAAAAATCGCTACAGATTTTAATGAGAAACTGTTATTATTGAGAGTTACTGGTAACACAAGGTTATGGAAGTTTCCAAAACAAAATATATCGAATGGTAGAATAATTTGGTAAAAAAGTATGTACACAATGTTGTAGTACATAATATTACAAATTGGAGTCGTCCCTATATGTGATTTAATTTGTAACAAAAATGTTTAGAATTGTAGAAATTTTCGCAGCATTTTTTTCGTGTTATCCCGATTGTTTGGGTCAGATTAAGTAATTGAAGTTTGACCCCCTTCCTGTTGACATATTGATCTAATATTTGGTACACATATTTAGTTTTGATGATAATACAATTTAATGGATTCTGTATCATTGTAAACCCATGAAGGCCGCAGCTACCTCAATATGGGTATCAAATGAAAGGGTTTGACTAGTAGAGCAGTAGTACACTTTGAAAAAGATGCAACTTCAAGATGGCCGCAGCTACAAAATGGCGGATTACATATTATTTCACAACTACCTCAATATGGGTATCAAATGAATATACTACACTCAGCATTTATTTTGTTATGGCTCATTCATGCATCGCGATAATATGAACTAGGCCGGAAGAGAACAATTATAATTTTTATTATTTCATTTGGAATAGGTAAATTGTCCTTTTCATGGAGTGTACATTCATGGCAGAATAATTCTTCGAAAGGTCGAAGTACTTTTCTCAAGACATAGTCAGGATTGGAGCACTAGAGTCGTTTATGAATATTTGTTAACAATTTTGTAAAGAAGTTCCAACGTTAGATTTATAAAACATCAAAAGATTCGATTCTAAGTTATTATATAACTGACATGTGCGTGATTATATTGTCTTTCTTGTTCAAAATGAATCTTTTTTATCGTCACAGCGATTTTTTTCATCATTTTTATCATCTCGTGCAAAGTTAACTGAAAGTATTAAATTGTATTGAATTCAACAATGTTTTCGTGTATCTTTGAAACTTTTTTATAGGCTATTCATGAAAAATAAAATCCAGAAGACAAAACTACTATTGAATCAACAGAAGGCAATCATTACATATGATCAGTTTGTGATCTACTTGTATATCATTCAAAAGGGAAAATTACGTGAAATAAATCAAAACTGCAACATTCAAAGTTACATACATTACAATTATTTCCATTTTGAAACAATCTCAGCAAACAATATGTTGCTATCAACCAAGGGTCAATTATATTCTATGTCTACATTGATTAAAGTCGAATGCTGTATAAATAATTATGATTATGAATGAAATGAAGTAGCATGATAATAGACCCATTCACATGTAGATGTGTTCAGCGGAATCTATTGGTTGACTATATAATTTTCATAAAAATGCTATAAATACGAAGTTGCAGAAGCATTTGAAATTGGATAACAAAGACTGCCCAAATCATATAAGTATATTTCATTGTATTCCTTCCCAATTCAGTAGATATTTGTTGTTGAAAAGCTGAGTGGAAAAGTTATATGACGGATCTATTAACTTAGTTATTGTTCCACTAATATACATTTTCATGACTCTTCAGGAAAAATCATTTCTGATGACTAATAATACGTTTATATTTTCATTGCAATACTCAAAGAGCTGGAAATATTAATTTTATTCGATTGGAATTCTGAAAGCTTCATGAGTAGCGTTTCCAATCACTGGAATTGAATCAATTTTTCAGAAAATGTTATAATCTAAGTGTGAGTTGTCAAAGCTTTTCATTTTCATGAAGTAAGCTTCCACATAGACTTGAATTTCTACATGAAATAAATTTGCTGTTAACTAAAATATTGATTATTATCTTCCACGTATATAGTTGAGTACTCAAGAATTTCATGTATTTTATACTTATTTGAATTATTCATTCTCCACCTGACTTAAAACAATATGTTTCATTTAAATTTGCATGAAGGTGTTATATTGCAAACAATGTTATTTGCAGTTTCACCAATGAATTGATATTGGATTGCGAAATTTTATTGACATTTTGAGAAACTATTCATGATCAAAGAGAAAAATACCCGTTTACTTGATTAGAATAAGATTGCTCATTTGAAAAATAACAGTATTAAATTTATTACCAATTTGTAAAAATATCGATGATTTTTTGTTCAGTGGACTACATTCCTAGACCAAGTAAAAATATTTCGTATACATTTGTAAGTGAATAATTTGTCAGAATTGTTTCATGAATATGTTTTTTACAGTTAGTAGAACATGAAAAGATGTAAATTCAGCAAACTATATTTGTCAACAATGTAAGTATTTTGATCTGAAAAAAATTGCTAAAGTTGCAATTGTTGTTTTCGAATTATACAAAATTGCTAAAAAATAGTAATCAACCTGGAATGTGTGAAACAAAACTTTGCTTGCGAAAACTACAAGTCTTTGCGTTGACTTGACAATACTCATTGAAAATCAATTGGAAAACATTTCACTAATCACTACAAAATTTATTTCTGTTGATTTGAACAAGGTCTCAACTTGTTAATATCAACAATTTATTGTTTTTGTTGATTTCACCAAAAACTGAAGTGAATCGATTTTACCAAAAGTTTTAGTCAATTCGTAGTTGAAATTGACACTTTTTTTACCGTGTATAATATCTGTAAAGTAATAAAATACAGCAAACCTAAAGTCAATGTGACCGGAGAGTTTTTGGATATCTTGAGTGGTATTCAGTAAGTGTTTTTATTAAAAATACTTGTTTAAATTGGAAATTGAGAACAATTATTCGTTGATGATTCAGAAATATCTCTAATTGTCACTCCATTGTATGTTTTCTCTTGTCTTTTTCATTTCCGATTGAAAAAATACACTGTCATAACAAGGTATTGTATATCTATCTTTGCATGTAATAAATTCCTATCAGAAAGTATTTACAATGTCTCATAATATTTCTGGAAAGCAATTTAATCAAAACTGAATGTCGACGGTCTCTAGATAATCCATTTCAAACGCTCCATTGAAATTAATTTCATTTCTTAACGAAAACATTCGTACTTCCAAAACAATCAATTTTTCCAATTACCAGAAATGCACGTACGCGACGCGCGTTTCACACACTAAGTTGCCATCTTCAGGAGATGAGGAAAACATTCGTACTGTTCAATAACACCGATACGCCTACCAAAATTGTTTGTCTACGTAAAAATGTTTTTCTGAAACTTCACAATTTCCGATTCTACTCACATTAGTTTCCGGACGCAGGTTTCCCATTTCCAACATTTTCCGCGGTGGTCACAATTGAAAGAGCGGGTCGGTGAACTCACTGAAAGATTACGACATAAGCGAATTCGGGAGGAGAGGTCAGTTGTGCACATCCTTATGCTTTATATTCCCTCCTACCAAATCTTGAAAACTAGATAAAGGAGACAAGAGAGGTGGAATTTGCAGACAACGGCAGAAATGGATAAGTGCGAGGTATATAATTTAGATTGAAATATTAATTCGTTCGGTTATTAGAAAAATATAGTGTTTTTCAAGATCGGAAGATTGGTCTCGCCTCTCACGCTATTAAATTTCATCTCTATTATTAACCACTTTGAATTTTAAAATTTGTTGATTTGTAGGATATTCGATCGTTTCAATATAACTAGAGATTTCATTACATTTTTGTGTGAATAACGCAACGATTTCGGACTTGCCTTTAATTCTTAATCCATATCAATGCATAGATGGACCAATAGAAAATGAAACAAGGTCGATTACACTAGCCAACAAATAACAAAAAAAATTTCGACTAATATCATGATGGCTATACATGAGAGTTTAAACCATCCTGACTACGACTTCAACATCAAAAATTTTCCATCACGTAAAGAATTTGATTTATAGTTATTTTTATTTCATACAAAAATTTTCACATGTCATAGGGAAATGTAAGATCAAAACAAGAAAAAAACAATATATTTTGAGGATAACAGGCTTTACAATACACATGAAAAAACATTCAAATGAACTCTTTTGTGCATAACCTTTTTGGAAATGTAGACTTTCGTTTAAATGTTTCATCGTTTTCCCTCATAAGGAACCAACAATAATCTCCCATCATTGCTGCATCCCATCTGCCTGGGTAACGTTGCTCCATTGTCAGTATGTCTTGGTGGAACTTTTCCCTTGTTCGTCACTGACAGCACCCAAATTTTCTGGAAGCCCAAGAAATGGATTTTGAGAGACATGCGACATCCCATTCTGCAGTAGTTTTCAAGTAGTTCTTCTACAAGTGTTTCGTAATTTTCTACTTTTTTGTTCCCTAAAAACTCAAAAACAATTATTTTGAAAGAAAATATCTAAGGAAATTAAAGTTGTATATACAGGGTGTAACTAAACAAGTGTAAAACATTTAAGGAGGTGATTCCTCATCGAAAAAAAGATACGATCTTTCATATAAAGAATTTTCATTGGAGCATCTCTTGTTGAGATACAGCCCCTCAAAGGAGGTACATAAAATTTGTGTAACAATTTTTTTCACAAGCACTGAAAAAGTTACAATATTGAAATTAACCTGACGTACTACCAAAAAGACAAAATTTATTTGATATACCCCATGGTTGTAAGGGGTGGAAAACACAACCCCTAAAATGTATGTATTTATCATTTGTTTACCATTTAAAAATTCATTTCCGATAGTCTGTTTCAATTTAAACAAAAAATGTCTCTTGGGTTTTTTGCCCAAAATGAACCAATTCGCAGCAAAAAATTATTTTAGGAACAACTACAGAGATACATCGTCATAAATGCGAAAATACGAAACTAATCTATCTAGTAGGTCGCTATTAGCGATAGTGACAATTGAATTGGTATGACGCTGTCAGTTTGTGAATTTTCGAAATTGAATTATTACTAATTGTGTGTTGTCCTATTCCTAATTTGTTACTTTAATAATTCACTTGTTATTAAAATGGCTTACACAAATGAGGAAATGGCTTATATGCATTGCGTTTACGGTCTGTCGCAGGGGAACGAGTTAGAAGCTTCTAGAAGATCTGCTGAAATGTATCCTCAACGGCAGCATCCTTCACATAGAGTATTTGCTCGACTTCATCAACGATTACGAGAATATGGTTCATTCGACAAAAGAACGCAGGATTATGGTCGCCATCGAGAAGTACGAACACCACAGCTTGAGAAAGCAGTACTTAAATTGATTGAAGAACAACCTACTACCAGTACTAGAAAGATTGCTTTCCAGCTAAATGTTGATCATATGACGGTATTTCGAATTTTAAAAGAACAACTCTTATACCTTTACCATCTGCAACGAGTACAGGCACTGTTACCGCGAGACTTTCCGAACCGTCTTGAATTTTGCAATTGGATGCTGGAAATGATTAGAAAAAATTGTGACTTTCTGAAGACGAGAACAAGAATGCAGTCATTGTTCACTGTGGTTCTGGCGTTAAATCTGGTCATTATTACACCTTGGTCAAAGACGAAACGGACTGGTGGCGATGCAGTGAATTTAGTGGAGCCTGTGGACACACTCTACATTTTGTTTTATGAAAGAGAGGATAATGGCAGATCAAAATCTTCAGATGTTGTGGTGCTGCAGGTTTTTCCGGGTTTTCCTGTAGCTGAAAAAACAAATGCGGCACTGGAATCAATGAAGTCGCCCCGGAGCGCCAATTGATTTTTGTTGTTGTTTTATAATTTCATGATTTGTATTTTAGACTTTTATTTCTTAAGTAAATGTTTTGTTCTATAATAAAGTCGATTATTATCATTTGCTTTCCTAATAAATTTGTTGATCTGCATTCTTTCTCTCAAGAAATGCGATAACTTATGAAAAAGTGGCTATGTTTACATTTTTCTCCACTAAAATGGTTTTTCAACATATAGTACATGCTCCACAAGGTAGATGATTTGACAGTTTCAGATTTTTGCGCCAAATAAGTAAAAATTACATTCTCAGTAATACTTTTGCATTGCTTCATATCCATCAATTCCGAGAATTTATCATAAACTTTGGGAAAGAAAGTTTTTGGCTTTCTACTACTCCATCTCGATACAAAAAAAATGTGGAAATCTTCCAAAGAAAGGAAGAAAGTAATCGATTTGAAATTAAGTTACTTTATAGATGGATGTTTAGATCATGCAAAGAAGTAACTTTCAGACACAAACTGGAAGAAAGTCCTCCTGAAACAGCTACTTTCATATAAACATTGAATTACACGAAAGAAAAGATTCTTTCGAAACAAATACTTTTATATGAACACTGAATTATACAGAAGATACTTTTCTCTACTCAGTTTGTATTCCAAACATTCTTTATGGAATAAAATCAGATATCATCCACAGGAGTTCTACTTTAAATGAATTGTAACAAATTGCTTAAACGTTTTCGTATCCGGACATTTGTAGTTTTTAGAGGTTTTCTGTCAAACTTTAAGAGTTGAAAATTTGCCGACTGAACAAAAATCACTTAAAAGTACAAACCAACTGCTCGAGTGATTCAAAGCTTACACCCAGACCTAGCTGATGATTCATTAAGAAAGCCCAAAATGATATAGTTTGTTTCAATATTGGCACAGTGTTTTTCACCTACATATATTCAAAATATTTGCATATGCCGAAAGAAAACCTGGTAAAGATGTGACACACCTATCCTATCCAATTAAATATTATCACCTCTATAGGTTTATTACTCCTGACATGTAGGTGTCTAATAAACCAATGCCCCCCAAACACAAATTACAGATGAGAAATGAATAAATTATTTCTAGCTATCAAAAAACGATATTTCTTCGGTTCGAAACGTGTGCGGTAGGCGTTCAAATATCGTATTTGGAGCTTCGCATATTGATCAGTTTTTGTTTATGACGAAACGGTAATTTGAAATAAAGTTTATGTGATTTTTCCGCCGTAAAAATACCGAACACACAAAACCATGTAATAGGAATGGTCGTTGTGTGTTCAACATCTCTGTGGGGGACTGTATACATTAGCTGAATCTACCAACGAAAATATTTGACGCTCAGAGAGCTTGTTGGTACAAAATGATGGATGCAAAGAGGCGTTGACAAATTTCTCCACTGGAACTCAACGTGAACATCGGATAAGTAGCAGACATTTGTTGACATTATAATTAATGGAAGAAGAAAATTCAAGAGTTAAAGAAGTGAGGTTACAGGTATACAGTGTGTAAAAGCCAAATGGAATAATTTCATATTTTCAACAAAACACGTCAAATTTAAATTATAATTTCACATAATTCAACGGAAAAATGCTAACCCTACCTTAAACACCCGTCGAATGATAGATAAAACCCCCAATTTTTCAAATGGGGAGTATAAGCTTGTGATATTTTGTTTGAAAGGTATCTTCATTCTCTATTGAAAAATGTTATCACTTTCAAGTTTGTTGCAACAATTAAGAAATGAATTAAAATCATGTGGTTACCTAAATTCAATAAAATACACTCAAAACTTATTGCAATATACTCAAAAATTATTCTTTGTCGAGGTATTGATAATGAGAATATCACTACGACGTTAACCATCTTGATTTTATTCAGGTTGAAGCCTGGCTCCCTTCCCCTTTTAGCTGAAGTTTGTCAGAAAGACAAAGACATCCTAGAATATCACTAGTAAATTAGTTTTCAACAGAAACAATGAAAATAAGCAATTATTTAAAAATTTATTTTCTGCAGAAAATTACGTTGCTTTAGATGAAATAACAGATTCCAATGAGGGCACTGAAACATTACTGAATATTTTTCAATATTACCACGAAATGAGCTTTCCGTTAATCAAGGTGAAGGGTGATAATTACCGGAGAAATAAAGATACTATAGTCGATGTTAGCATTATAAAAGCCAAGACAGATATTACCAACTTAAATCATTCAATAGAGTTGAAATTACCAAATAATGAAGAATTGAAAGGACAATTCAAATTAAAGAAATACGAGTATGAACAACTACTTATTATTAGGAAAAAGCAAGTGACGCTGAATGATATTCGCGAGTCGTCTAATAGACCAAAAGCTATCTGGGAGCACATCAACACCAATACAGGAAGGAAACCTAAAAAAAAGACAACTACAATATCTGCCGAAGAATTTAACAATTACTTTGTGAATATTGTAAATGAAATAATCAATGAAATTCCACCTTCGAAAGCTCATTTCTCGACACATCTGGGTAAATCCCCTACTACCGTAAATTGAAATTCACTTTTCATATATACTCCAACAGAAGAAGAAATAACTGATATAATAAAATCATTCAAGAATTCCAATTCAACTGACAACTACAACCACTCAGTGTGTATGTATAAAGAAAACCTAGATGCATTACTAAAACCG